GAGTGGGCAGTGCCCTGGCAAGGGAGGGCATTGCTTGTCCTGCTGCTGGGAGGTGCCCTGCTCCATCTGCCCCATGGGCTTGGCCTGGCCAAAGCACAGCAGGTCACAGACTGGCTCTTTCCTCCCCAGGAGGGAACAGCTCCTGCAGAAGTTGGCACCTCCACCTGCATGTTGATGGGCAGGTGTGGGCAGCATCCCTGTTCCACTGCCCTGCTCCCAGTGCAGGTGCCTGCTGCTGACCTCACCCAGCAGCTTCCTGCTGCTGGGACTTGCTGGAGTAGGTTTGCTTGTGAGCAGTGACTTTTCCACCCCCATCACCACCCTTGTATCCCTTCTCAGTTGAGAAGGCAGGAGGGCTTGCACTGGGTTTGAAAACTCTGGAGGGCTTGCACAGTGCTGATGTCCTTCCTGGTGTTTGGAGCAGGTGAGCGCCTCTACCCTCTGGTCTGCTCGATGCATCCCTTGCTGGCTGGCAAGATCACTGGGATGCTGCTGGAGATGGACAGCTCCGAGCTGCTGCTGCTCATGGAGTCCCCTGACTCCCTGCACGCCAAGGTAGGAGTCACTCGGTGGCCAAACACATCCCTTTCCCAAGGGCTGATTCCCTGCTGCTGCAAGGAAGGGTGACCCCAGCCCAGGAGAGGGGCCCAGGACATGGATTGCCAGGGGAAGAGCAAGGAGCTGCTGGTTTTATTTTCAAGTGAAGAAGGAACCCCAGTGATGTCACCATACCCAGTGTCATCCACCTTCAGCAAAAGGAGAAACTTGGAGCAGATCCCTGAAAGCACAGGACAAGCTCTGAGGGTGGTTTGGAAGTGACTGGGAAGTAAAAGGGGGAAAAGCAGGTTGGGTGTTGCTCCCTGGAAGGAGACGGGGAGATGCTCTTTCCTGAGAATAGAAAGCAGATAAATGCTGCCTCTCTGCAGTGTTTATTCAGTTTCCTCCTTAACCCTGTTGAATATTTAGCTTTGGTTCCAGTTGCAGTGAATTGATTGAGGCAGGATCCACTTTCACCCTTTCACTGACTTTTTTTTTTTTTTTTAATTTTATTTTGGAGGAGTGTGGGCTCTGCTGGGTGGTGTCAGGCAGCTTTACCTGCAGAGAAGCCCCAGAATTTCCCTTGGGAAGAGACAGGAAATGTCTTTGGGCTGATCAGTCTCCTGCAGAAGCAGCAGACTTGGATTTTATAATTATAATTTAAGTCCTTTACCTCTTGGAAGTGGTTCTGTGCAGAGACCAAGTCGGGACCTGGAATACTGAATTCCTGGTGCAGTGCACTCCTCCACTGGAGCAACTCAACTTCCCCTTCCTTGTGTTCTCTGTTGTAAGATCAAGGAGGCAGTCGCTGTTCTCCAAGCACACGAGGCCACGGACACATCCCATAAGGGCAGTGCCTTCCTGCAGTGACTCCAGGTGGGTGCTGGGAGCTGTGCATGGTGTGCTCAGGGTCTCTGATTTCTCACTCTGAAACTGGGGATTGAGTTTCTCATCCAAACCAGGTAAAGTTTGATGAGTAACAAAAGTATCTTTGACTGTAATGTTCCGTTTCTTAAACTGCACCCTCCGTTTTCCAGACTTAGTCCAACTGCAGAGACCTTGTTCTGTGGGGTTTTTTTCTGTGTTGATGAGGGCAATGACTGTGCAACCAGAAAGGCAGATGGGAAAGGACCTTGCTTTTCTGTGGGTATAGTGGGGACCAGCACAATCTTTCCTGGGACTTTTTTTTTTTTTTTTTAAATCAGAATCTTGGCAGGAGATACCCTATAAAATATCCTTTGTGGGCTTTATCAGGAGAGCTGGTCCTGCTGCTGCAGCTGGGACAGACACATTAACAAGCAATTGAGGCTCTCATGTGCCCTTATATTTGAAGGTAGTATTTTCTTGACTTGTGGTATAAATGAAATTGTGTGTAATCTGAGTTCAGGTGAATTTCATCTTGTCTGGTTGAAATTCTTCCTTTAGCATTTGAAAACTCTATTTGGGGGTTCTCTGTTTCTTGTAGGCTCTGGGACTGAGAGTGAGCCCTAAGAATGTTGCCTTTGAAGAACAGGAGCAGCAACCCCACCATGCTGTTGGAATTATACCTGTACAGAGACCCTGGCTTGTCTTCAGTGCCCCATCCTATTGTTTGTATATGTTGTAAACCTCGTAGAATTGCTTCCTTCTGCACCTGTAAAAATCCCCACTTTAAATCTCTTCTCACCACTGAAAGCACCCTGTGAAATGTAGTGTGGAACCCAGCCTGGGTCAGTTGCCCAGGAAATAACTGCTGCTGCTGAATCACCATTTTAGGGAATTTATTGGGTTATGTAGTTTTACTTGTTCATGTAGTTGACACTAATAAAGAACTGATGCTTCCACCCTTGAAGCATGGGTTAGTTCCCTTGGCACAAGGACAGCCAGTGCTTTGTTTCAGGCAGGTGGAGGGATGGACGTGGGTCAGGCTGTAGTAATTAGTGTTTGAAGTTTGTGATGCTGGTGGGGTGGCAGTCCTGAGAGCTGACAGAAAGTTCTTTCTGAATCTTAGGAGGATGGATTTAAGCAAATTTCATACAATCTACCTGGATTTTATCCTCTCTAGATAGCTGTTTTAAACTTCCTCTTAGAAGGTGTCATCTTCCTGTGGTTCTCCTTTTGTAATGGACCTTGTACTCCTGCAGGACTGCCCCTGAATATCTTCTGCTGGTCACATGGGGGCTGTGTGTGTGTCTGTGGTGCACAAAATTCAGCTTTTGAGGTATTGTGCAGTAGCTGTAAATCAAAAGCTGCTTCTCCAATGTGTTCCTGACCAGTGGTGTCAAGGAGTCACTGAAGGGCCTGAAACCACATCATGTCCCACTGGGATGCTCCCTGCTCACAGTTGTAGCTGGGACCTGTTATTGCTGTGTTCTGCTCTCTGTGTTGCTGTCATCATCCTGGCCTTAATCCTCTGCTCTTCCTAGTTCAGTCCCCAGAAGCTCCTTGGTGCTTGAGGCTGGCGATGCACTGACCTCATTTGACTGCTTCCTTGAGCTGGCAGGAGCAGGAGAACACCTCCACCAGCACCACCCACCCTCTTTCTGTGCAGCTTGTGTACTGCTGGTGGTGTCTCAATCTTCCTTCTGTGCTGTATCATACTCTCACTTCAGCTCCCTGCTGAGTCACCCCTCCTACCTCTTGTTTTCCTTCCAGCATTTTAATAGAACAGTTTACACATTTGCTCCTGCTCGACTGGGACTCTGCCCTGGGGCTTCTCATCATTCCTTTTTCTCACCTTCATTTTGCCAATTCTTCCTCTGACCTCCTTCAATATTTATTTTCCTCTTAGTGGATTCCTCAGCCTGAACTGTGTGCTGTTTATATCTTCTCCTCAGTGAGATGCTTATGAAGGACTTTAATTAGCTTAATATACCCGACCTTCATTTGAGTTGTTATTTCTCTCGAAGTGTAACTGGCTGGAAGGTTTTTCTGCTTTGTCTCTAGAGGAAAAATGTTTATTTGCATGAATGTAGTGCATGTAAGGAGCTGGAATAAGCCTGTACAGGTAAACTTCATTCTGCTGTTGGTTAGGTTGGCTGCAGCCTCTTTTCAGGTGTGCCTGTGACAACACCTATGATCTCAGATGGCTGGGCTGGGTGAATGCTCTGTAAAGCCAGAGGGAATGCAGAGTGGGGGCCAGGAACACAGGAATGTTGGAATAGCCTAAGAAAGGACCTGAACAAGGAGCAGGGTCTTGAAATTTTTTATCAGCAAAAGGTGAAGTTGGCGCTTGGATCTCTGGCTGGAAAGTTTTCAGAACAGCTCCCCGGCTGGACTCCTGGGGAAGTCTGAGGCTTTAGGGAGTTAGGGCAGGAGCAGCAATGCAAATATGAGTCTGGAGGCTCCAGTCTGGAACAGCTGCTGTGAAAGGGGCAGATGGTGTGTCCCTGTGACAAACCCTCTCCAGCTGCTCCTGTGGACAGCACTCCCTTTGCTCACCAGGGCAGTGTCCTGCATGAACAGCAGCACCATGGCTGGAACAAGAGAGTCAGGAGCAGAAGTGCCCCCCCCCAGCTTGCAGTGGTCTCTTGTTGCTGTGCTTGACCTTTGCCTGCCCGGTGGTATTGCTGGGGAAAGCCTTGGAGATGAGGCACAAACAGCACTGATGTTGCTGTGAGGGGAAGGAGGGTGAATGCTGGTGCTGCAGGGAGCTGCAGTTGAACAGGGCAGGAATCTGCCCTCAGGGAACAGCAGGGCTCTTACAAGGACAGCTCTTGACTAGGTGAAGCCAGTCCTGCTCCTGGATTCTGTGACCTTCCTCTGCTCCTCTGTGTGCTGCTGTGTGCTTCCCCACCCTGAAAGCCATCCCACCTCCAAGGTGCCTGGGCAGATGCTGGCTGTGGGATCAATGGAGCTGCCTCACTTGGAAGCAGGAGTGGAGTGAATGGAGCCATTTGTGCCCCTCAGGGAGGAGTTGTTTCAAGCTCTGGCCCATTACAGCTGATGGAGTACAGCCCTGGGACCTACAAAAAGCTATTTAATGTCAGGCTAAGGGAAGAAGTCTTTGTCTTTAATGGCATTAGAGGGATTGTCTGCTCTCTAAATTTAATTGGTGCAGTACCTGCCTCAAACACTGACTGCTGGGAGAAGCAAGGTGGGAAACTAAGATACCTGAACCCTGACTTCAGGGCTGGCTTCTATCTCCTGGCCTTTACTGTGAGGTGGATCAGGTCTAGCATTGTCCAGCACCTGGACTTACTAGCTGAAGCAGTGTGCAAGTGAAAAATGGTTGGAAACCCTAATGCAGTGCTGTGCTTCCCATGGGCATGCCCTTCCCAGCCCCAGTGTCCCTAGAGCTATAGGCTTTCTTGTTCTGAGCCCTAACTTTAATGGCCACTAAGAGCTGAGGCCACTGTCTGAAAGAGCAGGGCCCTGTACAGTGCTTGAAGTGCTCTGACAAAAAGGTGGGACAGTGTGAAGTGGTTAAAGAAGTGTATCAGTTCCCCTATACCCTCCATCCCATGAAAAACACAGCTCCAAACTGAAAATAAACATGGCTTTAATGGTTTTAACAGTTCACAGAGTAACTCCAACTATCTCTTTACCTACCATTTTAAATCAGTGCCATCAATACCAGATCAGGAGAAGACCAAAAAGCATAAACATGCATTGAAGTAGTAAGCCAGACCTCAGCTGGGATGTTACTGAAAATTTTCCTCCCTGTAACACCCCATAGCAACTGCTCCAAAAGGCACAGAGGAGCTAAAGTGTTTTTAAAACAAACAAACAAACAAACCATTGCAAAATTCCCAAGCACCCAGAATCTGTAATAGTGCACAGTGTAACAAGGCAGGCTTAACTTGCTGCTGTTTTCTTAAATGTGCAGAATAACTAAAGAAAGCTGCTACTGTAAACATCTGCCCAGCCACACTAAGCAGCAGAACCCAGCTGAGGGCCAGCAGGCATCAAGGGGGCGAGGGAACAAGCTCAGCCCTGTGCAAGTAACTGTGCCCCTGTTACAAGAAGGGTATGTGGTGCTCTGGCAACTACAGCAGTTCTTGCAGCCACCTTATTTCAGTAATAGCAGCACAAATGCAGCAAAACTGTCACCTGAATAAGGACAAAAAACCCTCTGTTTGTAGCTCTTCAGAAAGAACAGCCACTTCACATGCATCTCAGCCAGCATGGAAAGAGTCCCTGAGACCAATAGTTACAGGCAAGTTGACTTCAACCAGGGAAGGGCATTAAAACTAAGCATGATCTTAGAGCCAGATTAATAGAGTTTGATACAGATTGTGTCTTAACATTCCTTATGCTGGTACAGAACCTCTTATATCTCAGCAGCAGTGGAAGATAGATTTCAATACAGATCCTGCATCAAGATTGGTCCCTGTAACAACATGAGAAGGGAAAAAGCTTTCTCCTGCAGTGGAAAACAAAGCTTTCCTTGTTGCTTGGTTACCCTAGGCTCTGTTCAGTTCTTGAAGTAATCTCAGTGCAGCTGTGTTCTTTGGTTCAGTTTTCAACAAGCTCTTGATATCAGCAATACTTGATTTGTAATCCTAGAAAGAGAGTATTTTTTAAGGGTTAGTGCATTAAAAATGCAGTTTAAGGTTGCAGAACTACTACTCAGGAACAGAGGCAAAGACAACCCAGGTAAGCCTCTGACTCCCTCTCTATAACTGCTCAAGCCCTGGCATTGATGTAGCTGTTCTAAAACATGCTTAAACTAGGGCTGAGAAGATAATTTCATGACTCAAGTGGGTTCTGAGTCCAAGACCAATGCACTGCATAGTCCAGCACTGCCTCCAGAATTTCTCACAAGACACAAAAAGATAAAGCTCAACACAACACACGGCTGCTTTCAGCATCTCTAGGAATGGGACCTATGTGTAAAAACTCATGAGATCCAAATACTGATGTGAAAGAAAATGCTCTCTCAGTCCATACAGGTCTCAGCTACCTGTTGGCAGGTGTTGTCTAGCACAGAAACAAGTTCTAAAGGACACCTATGGCTCTGATTATGCACAACCAGGCATCTAGTCCTAGCCTAAAACCCTTCAAAAACTCCTGACTTACCTTCAGTTCTTTAAATGCTTGAGCACGCCTGTAGAGTGCCTTCACGTTCTTAGGATCTAACTTCAGAGCTTCTGTGCAGTCCTGTGCTGCCTCCTTGTATTGCTTCAGGGTCAGGTAACAGAGAGCTCTGCAAAACAGATACCTGGTTAGAGATCTCTGGCTGAAAACAGCACCTACTGCTGCAGCATACAGAGCAGGTCCCAGTGGAGCACAAGGCTGGGCTCCAAAACCAGCCTTGATTCTCACACGTTATGTCATCTTACTTCTTGAGCCCAAGTTTATTTCAGTTAAAAGGAGGGGAGAAAAAAGGAAATGTTTTTTTGATTTAAAGAGGGGAAAAAAAAAAGGAGGATGTTTAGAGCAACCTTCTCTGAAGCTGAAGACCCTGAAGCTAAAGAACCTGCAGTTTGAGGATGCAGGTTCCTGTCTATACCAGTGCAGCATGTGTTCTGCTTGCTGCAACTGCCTTAGAAGTACTCTAAGTACAGTACTTTGTGGTTTGTAGGACAACACAGGCCACTCAGAATACCCCAGTCCTGGCAGAGTCCAGACAGAAGGGAGTAGGCCCTTCAGTGTCTCCAAGGGTTTTGCAGTACCTGATCAAAGAATGTTACACTACAGGGGAGACTGCACTTGGGGTGGATGTGTGTAGGTGGTTTTGTTTTATTCGTTAGTTTGGGTACAAACGTTAGACAGCTCTGTCAGAAGTACCACAGTGACCTTTATAAAGGGCCAAGAAGTACTTGGGCAAAGAGCTGAGCAGTACCTGTTGGTGTAGGTTGCACATTCCTGGTTGAGCTTTAAACTCTCAGTGTACTTCTCAACCGCTCTTTTATGGTTTCCTTTCTTTACAAGTTCGTTTCCTTCTTCCTTCAGAGTTCGAGCTCTCTCCATGCCAGCAGCAGTCTGGTCTGGAAACAGTGTGGAAGGATACAGAACACCATAAAACCAACAAGAACATCACAGCATCCCAGAAAACAAATACCCCCATACCAGAGGTGAGACATCAAAGGGACCAGAATCAACGAAAAGGCTGTGGCAGAGCCTGGCCTGGGTCTCTCCAGGCTGCAGCCCCAGCTGCAGACACACCGAGCAGGTGTGGCAGCTGCCTTGTTCATCACCCTTGTGAGCTGCAGGGCTCTGTGCCCAGCCCAAGGGCATGCTCCCACCTGGTTTTCCCTGTGGTGCAGCTGCAGGAGGAGTGTTTGCCCCAGGGGCTCCAGGAGAAGGAACGCTCCACCTCGTCTGGGCAGAAACAGGCACTGTGGGGATTGGCGGCAGCTTCTGACGCCAGTTCACGCCATCCTTCTCCAGCAGGGCTTTAGTCATCCTGGAAGGGACGCTCCCAGTCACCCTGGCTGTTGGCTGGATGGGCCACACAGTAGCCAGCAGGGTCACTTTTTAACCCAGTTTGTGTACCAAGGACAGCACCTCTCCCCTGATCTTTTTACATGCATCTCAACTAGGTTCCTTCTACAGGCAGGACATTTATGAAAAGATCTTCTTGGTGTCAGCAGGGCTAAAAATATCACAGGACAAGGGCTGGGGCTGTCAGTGCTCAGATGAGCAAGAGACATGCATTTCACTCCTCAGTCTGGCAAGCCATGAACGGAAACAGAAAGCACCAGGAAGAGAACAGGACTACAGCAGCCTGTAAATGCAGTCAGCGTTGAGAGGCTTAAAGGATAGGGCACTAGAGCTGGTATTTTATTATTTCCCTTAGACCAGACACTGAGCAAAGCAGAAACAGTCCCAGAGAAATCAGGCAGCATCTTGAAAGGACCTATGGGCTCAGGCAGATAGAGGGAGCATGGCCAGGCCTTGCTTTACTCAAGCTGGGGCCCAGCTTGCTCCTGACAGCGCTGCAGGGATGCAGCAAGGCTGGCGGCAGCAGGACCCGCGCCTGCCGGCGTTACCTGTTGACTCCATCGTGCGCCGCCTGCACGGAGCAGTCCACCTGCAGCGCGGTCTTGTAGTCCACGTAGGCCAGCGAGTACCTCTCCAGAGCCTCGTAAGCCGCCGCCCGCCTCAGGAGGGGCTTGATCCCGAACGGGACCAGCTCGAGGGCGCTGCGGCAGAGGGGGCACAGCGGGGTGAGCCAGCGCGGCTTCGGGGCGGCCGCCCAGCCGGGCCGGGGGAGCAGCCGAGCGCCCTCCGGCCCGCCGGTGACCCCGGCCCCGCTCACCTGGAGCAATCGGCCACGCACAGGCTGCAGGCGCCGTCCTTGAGGTGGCAGGCGGCGCGGTTGGCGAGCAGCACGCTGCGCTCCTCGGCGGCGGCATCCCCTGCGCGGGAGAGCCGGGATCCAGCGGGGATCCAGCGGGGATCCAGCCGGGATCCAGCGGGGTCCGGCCCCCCGCCCCGGGACGCGCCCGTACCTGATGCCTCGAGCTGCTCCAGCGCCCGCGTGTAGAGCGCGGCGGCCGGGCCGTACTGCCCGCGGCGGAACTCCTCGTTGCCGGCCCGGCGCAGCGCACCGGGGGACGCGGCCATCGCGCCCGGGAAGCCGCGCCCTCGCCGGGCCGGGGTGGGCGCTCCCCGCGGCATCCGGCGGCGGGCGGAAGCGGCGGCGGGGCGGGGAGCCATGGGGCGGTGAGAGACGGAGCGCCGGGATCGCCGAGTCGCCGACATGGAGACGGTGCAGCTGCGGAACCCGCGCCGGTAAGCGCGGGGCGCGTCCCCGCCGGGGATGCTCCGGCCTTGGGAGCGGGGGGAGCGGGGCCGCTCCGAGCCGGCCGGAGGGGCGGCGGGGGTCGGTGGCTTCGCCCCGAGCGGCGCCGGCAAGTGCTGGGACAGCACCGAGCGCAGGTGGTGGGGAAATGGCTCGAGCTGCAGAGCCGGGGAGAAGGCGGCGGCTGCGGGCGCTCGCAGCGGTCCCGCGGCTGTACCGAGGTGTGCCCACCTGTGCCGGCCGAGCGACAGAGTCCCGGTCGCTTGTTTTTCCCTCTCGTCCCTGTCCGGGTGAGTTCCGTGCGGGTCCGCTGGCGCCGGGGCCGTGCCCAGCTCGGTGCCCTGTCCTGGCACCTCCGCCGTCCCGCCGGGCCCGGAGCATCCCGGGGTTTGGGCTGAGCTCCATGAGCCGCCTATCTCGGAGCGCCAGGCCGGGCCGGGCTGCGGAGGGAGAGCTGGAGATCGGCGGCAGCTTGAATGAAGTGTCCGTGTCAGAATCCTATCAGCGGCTTGCAGCTGGGGCCCGGGGAATCAGCGGCGAACAAAGGAAGCTGCGGGCGCTGCTCCTCGGTGAGATTGGCTCGGTTCGTTAAACGGACAGCGATGTATCTTCTGTTAAAAACGAAAACTGGATTTTATTCTGTAATTGCATATGCTGGTGCTTAGCTGGCAGGTGATTCAGATTAGATCTGAATAACAACAAAGGTGAGGTTGAGTTTGTGTTGCTGTTATATCCGCGTTGTATAAACATCCAGGAGAAAGGCAGCGTGTGCCTGACAGCAGCGAGTGCTCTGCATGAACCAGACAGCCCAAAGTAATTCAGCTCCTGGTCTATAGCAGAAATGAGGTTGTTTGCTGCAGGCACAGTGGTTGTCTGGTTATTGTGCCTGGGTATGTTAAAAGCCTTTTTGTCCCCTTTTATGCTGGTAGAATTTAGGCCTCAACTTCAGCAAGAGGGGTCTGCCTCTCACATCACCACTTTTTGGGCTCTTTGGAAATGGTGGCTTATGTGGTTGCTGATGCATATATTAATTTCATCTCCCCCCTTTTCCCACACCTTCTTCCCTCCCCGTTTTCACAAGGGCAAGTAACATTCTGTTTAATGCTTATCTGTGCAGGGAAGCTAGTGACTACTTTCAGTATTTCACCACTTCCTGAGTCTGCTTCTATATAATGTTTCCTTTGCTTCAGGAAGCCATTGTATGTGCTCCATGCGCGAGCTGCTCCTCCTGTGTGGCTTTTGTACATAAATGTTATAGCCAGGGATCAATGAGTAGTTTCTCACTCTGCTTCTGAAGAAATTGGGGAAAAAAGTTATATATTTAGTTTAAAAATTAGTATGCCTGTGACTGGGCTCTTGATATTTAACAGTAGCGGTTCGAGCTTTCAGGAGTAATTTACAGTTGCGGGTGTTCTCGCGTATTTCACTTTAAACACTGATCACTGTGAGACCAGGCAGTGCTAAAAGCTCTGAGACTCATAAGTTTCTGTGTTTCAAAAACTCGCATGAGCCGGTTTGGGGAGATTGGAGGGGTTTTTGTCGTGTGTTTTATTGTTGTTTCGGATATTTTAATTTTTTTTTTAGTTGGTGCGAAAATGAAAGAGCTTGTTTGTGGGCAGTTGAATACTGTATCATTGACAGTAAAATACTTAGTTTTCAGAACTTTTTGTTACGTAGTCCTTAGCTGTTTCAGAAGGTTTGGTGAACAGCTCTCAGTGTGGACAGAAACAAATGATTGATCTTGTTGCTTTGGGCATGAAATCTCCCTAAAAGTTGTACAGGGGGAGAGGGGGGACAAGTGCAGGATCACATCACATGGCATGGGTTTTTTTCTCCAGAAGGTGTTTCAGCTGACTCTTATTAGCAATACATTTAAGAGTCATGGTATTAAGATACTGCAATAGTCAGATACAGTTTCCTTTTTCTTTTTGCCTGGTAGAGCTTTCCTAGTACGTATCCAGGCCCACAAAGTTAAGATCTGAACTTTTGATGTTAAAAACGTACAGGTGAGGTCAGTATTGCCTCTTGCTCTCCCAACAAATGTATTCCACCCCTACTCTTGAGCATCAGGGAAGATGTTGTTCCCTTTTGCTTGGCCTTGGTAGCTATCCTTTCATTCCAGATATTGAAATTTAGCAGATATGTTCAATAGCTGTTAGACTCTGCTGTACTGTGTTGGGATGTGACCACCAGCGTAGAGATCCTGGAATGCATTTCTATCAAGATGAGGTGTAGAACATTCTGTTCTTTTGTAATTCCCAGTCCATTTTTGCTGTTGGATGCTAATAATATTCATTCTTCTTGTCAGGTGAAATAAACTTACTTGATAATCAATTTACTTCACACCAAGCCTTTTGTACGTTTAAGTTGTGCTGTTTATTCTTCTGTTTCAGCAAAGCCTAAACTGCCATAAAATTAAATGCCATAATTTCTCTCTTCTTGCCCGTACAGGCAGCTGAAGAAGTTAGATGAAGACAGTTTAACCAAACAACCTGAAGAAGTGTTTGATGTACTGGAGAAGCTTGGAGAAGGGTACGTGTTCTGTTCAATGGGCCCAATGTACATGTCTCTGAGGACAAATCTGTGTAATGGGGGTGTGTTCAGTGATCTCTGCTGTTTCATTTTTGTTGTGAGCTTATTTCTGCAAAGGTACGTACTAACATAGTGACAGTGTTTGGTTAGTAACAGAGTAAAGAATTTGTTTCCCAAGAGTGTGATATCTTAATCCAAACAGTAGCTTATGGCTCAGCAGTAGGGAGTTGAAGCATTGTTGAAAAATGCCAGCCTGGAGTTGATTGAACCCTGTGGGAACTCAAGAGGTTTTGTAGTTGATCCCGGGTACCTCTTGTGGAAGATCTGCCTGGTGGAAGTGAACTTCAGTAGCATTGTGCCACTTGGTGAGGCAGAGCAGCATGGGAACAGTCAGTGAGTGACGTGTTTGCTGCCTTAAGCAGTTCATTTGGAAAAACTGAGTTATAAATCTGCCTGGCTGCTGTATGAAAGAAGCTGCAAATAAGAATGATAATATCTGACCAGGGCTGTAGTTCTTACTGATGCTCAGATTGTACTGTATGCTGGAAAGAGAGAATTTTATTTGTTGGATTTGTGCAAAAGGCCATTCCAAAGCCATGGTCAATGTCATAATGGTTGGCTCTTTTCTCACCATCTCAGTGTGCTGTGACTTATTTGTATTACAGTATTTAGAAACTAGCGGAGTGATTATTTACATTAAAATACAAAATATTTTTAACAGAAGGATATGTTTTCCCTGATGGTTACACTTGCAAAAAGCAAAGCCATAATATTTGCATTTTTAAAATGTTAGTGCATTTCAGTGTTTGTTTCATGTTTTGTTTCCTAGCTCCTATGGCAGTGTGTTCAAAGCCATTCATAAAGAAACGGGTCAAGTTGTTGCAATTAAACAAGTTCCTGTGGAATCTGACCTGCAGGAGATTATAAAGGAAATATCCATAATGCAGCAATGTGACAGGTAAGTGTGTGCTGCAAACCCCATCATCAGGATGCAAGGAAAAATGTCGCCTGTGATCTGGCACTTCATCAAATAAAAGCCGTGATGTTGCCTTAAATGTTTTTTAAAAGGCCGGACTTGAACAATCAAGTTACCTCGTATCAGCTGAGTCATGTTAACTGACCGTTTGGGTAGTGCAAAGGTAAGACAACAAAAATTCAGCTTGCAACAAGAGAGCACTCAGTCGAATAACCCTGCACTTGCTGCCAGCCCAGAGCCGAGCGTGTGAGCGGTTGCTGCGGTTCTGCCCGTGCTTGTCGAGCAGTGGTAACTTGATTGTGTGCTAAACAGCAGCTCCTGCCTCCACAGGGGGGGATGGCTTCTAAACAAGACGTAGAAAACTCTTAGAAGAAGGTTTTTTTTGGTTTTGTTTTTAAGGGGCACGTGGATGGGAGCCACTAATGCATGACTGCTCTTGCATGTGCACGACCTACGTGCCGTCACCTGCTCGGGCGGCAGGACTGTCCTTCCCGGCTGTTTTCTGCCTGTGCAGGCTCCAGTGCAGGACCAGCTGATCTGAGCATCCCCAGAATAACTTGCTGGCAGCTCTGCTGGTGGGCTGATGGTTGGCTCTCTGGGCTGTCTTTGCATGTTTTTATGGGAAAAGATGCTGCAGTGACTTAGCTAATGAAGAGCTTCTGGGTAGGGAAGACCCTGTCAAAGTGTGCCCAAGGCTGAAGGTTTAAAATACACTCATTTCTTCTGGTCTTATGAACCTGGCCTTAAAAACACTACTTTGAAGGACTTGAGGCATGGAAAGCCATTTAAAATAAATTACATGAGCAGTATAAAACTGTGGTCCCACTCGCTCTTATTGCACTCCACTCTCCCTGTCTGTAAATGCAGGTGAGTGGGGGCAGACAGCAAAATGTAACTTGAATAGAAATTTCTTGTGAAAAATTTTACTGTGTAACTTGGAAAGCATTACTAGGTGTCTCTTAAATTAAATATTAATATCTTAAGGCCTAAAATGAGACCTTGCAGTTGTGAACAGCAGAGGGAGTGAATCACTGGAGCGTCACATTTTCTGTGCAAGCATAATGGGACACTGCAGTGTGACTGACCTGCTAGTTTTTGGTTTTTCATTAGAAAACGTTCATCAGAGAATAGATTAAACACACTTTTGTTCCTTAGCTCCATTCCCATAAAATCAGGGACATTCTTTCTGTTAGTTTCAGCTTTACCTTTTCCAGAGAACAGATGGTTTTTCAGACCAATGTACTTTACTAGGTTGGTTGTTTTTTTGTGCAGCCAAATAGCTCACAGAGAGACAGTTGTACTGAGATCCTAAAATATATCCTGGGCTAAACTGTAGAAACAAATAGGTGCATGTAGCAATGGAGGAACATTCCTTTTAATGAACATGATAGCTGTTTTCCAACAAATTGTGGACTTTATTTAATGTTTCCATTTGGTGGCAAATGCTCTGCAGCAGCTTTACCAGGGACTGCTGTGGCACGTTTCCCATTCCCTTGTCCTGCCTTCCTGCTTGCCCCAGCACTGACCCTGTTGTAACCCTGTCCAGGGGGTTAAACCAGACTGAAGGCTAATCGCTCCTCGTTTCCGCAGGATTTGTTGTCTGACAGTTTAGCTCCCTGAAGTGACTTACTGGCAGGTCATATGAGCAGTGAGAACAGGCTTGGCAGGACTGTGGTAGCCCTGTGTGGGTTCAGGGTGGTTTGGAACACTTTTGATCAGGGTTTCAGTGGCATTTCAGCGCTGAGTTTCTAAAACATCCTTAAGGGTTCTGCAGTGTATCGTGCTTATTCAGTGATGCTGATTACTGGTATTTGACCCTTTGTTTTCTTCTTTCTTTCACATTTCGTAGTCCTCATGTGGTGAAATATTATGGCAGCTATTTTAAGAACACAGACCTGTGGATAGTGATGGAATACTGCGGCGCTGGATCCGTGTCTGACATTATTCGGTTACGAAACAAAACTGTACGTCCTCTCTCCTTTGTATGGATGGGAAGTGTGGGTGTCCAGCAGCTCAAGGAAATTCTTACAGTGTTCAGTGCCTGACAACCATTTGCCATAACTTGTGGTGCAGGTCCCTTGTTCCTCTGAAATTGAGAAAGGGTGATTCCATTGACTGAGTTTTGGTTATCTGGATAATTTAATCAGAGGAGCAGATCTGGGTGTGTTGGCTTTCCTGGAAAGCCAGACTGATTCCAAGTAAGCCTCCACTTTGCTCTACTTTGGTTATTGCACGATAGGAATTACAAGTTGGGGAAGGGTTATGGTATGTGAAATGTGGTAGGTGTGTATGTGTATGCTGATTGTAATCTAATTTGCTATACAATGCTGTAAGTCACAAACTAATTCCCCATTAGTGTGGCATCCTTTAGTGAAGGCAATTAAATGGCAATTAGTGAATCTCAGTAACATACAGACCAAAGCACAACAGTGCTGTGCCTCAGCACTGCCAGGTTGGCAGCAACTCTTCTCTTCTTTAGCTCACAGAGGAGGAAATTGCTACAATAGTGCAGTCAACCCTGAAAGGACTGGAGTACCTGCATTTTATGAGGAAAATACACAGGGACATCAAAGCTGGAAATATATTGCTAAATACAGAGGGACATGCTAAACTTGCAGACTTTGGAGTGGCAGGACAACTTACAGTAAGTAAAACCAAGATGTTTGTGTGCATTTCAGTTTGTCTTTTTAATCTGTGTGTGAGTGTGATGGGCTTGTGGAGGCTGAGAAACTGTTCATAGCTGTTGTTTAGCACTTCACATCAGCATAATGAGATTGTAAACTAGTGACAGACTAGAGCAGAGCTTGCTCTGTGGAAGCTGTAATACCTGAGTAATGGCTTGCAATAGCATTTGCTGTTTTCTTTGGGATATTTTTAACTTCTGTGAGGACATTCCAATTCCTCTTTGCAGCCCTCCATATCCCAGTCCTGCTGAGCCTAATAATGTGTGTGCATGCAAGATAATTAGGGTGATAATTCACTAATGAGTGTTTGTGGCTAATACAGTTGCCGCTGTCTGGCTCTTTATCCTTCTCTTCTTCTCAGGACACCATGGCAAAGCGGAACACAGTCATAGGGACCCCGTTTTGGATGGCTCCAGAAGTGATTCAGGAAATTGGGTATAATTGTGTTGCAGACATCTGGTCTCTGGGAATCACTGCAATAGAAATGGCTGAAGGCAAGCCACCATATGCAGACATTCATCCCATGAGGGTAAGGACTCTGGCCTCTTAAAATGTATTGCTATATGGAAAGGGTTTGCTGTTGCAGGTGGCTGAGTAACATACCAGCATGCCATTTGCTTTTAATTTAGTGCAAGTTGTTTGTTTTCTGCCAGTTTTTTGTAGTGTTGATTAAACGAAAAACAGGTCTTTGTCAAGAAGAATCTGCATGGGAAGAAAAAAAATCACAATCCTCTTCTGTTAAGACAGAGCTGAAGCTTGGTGTTGGGTATGAAGAAACATATTTTCAGCTGGATTATCCAAAGTGTTTTGTTTTTTTTTTAATGCAAGCACAATTTTTTAAGATTTGAAGTTAGCATATTCATACCTTTTGGGGCACATAATGGCCCAGCCAGATGTAAGCACCTAGTGAGAAAAGTCTGTTTTCTTGCTACTTGATCCCTCTGAGCAGATTTGTGTGTAATATTGGCACGAACTCTTCAGAAGCAGCAAACTTGACAATGTCCATCATCCTTTAGTGCCAGTGTACGTTTGGGTGTGTTTATATTGTGTTGTTGGAACGTTTTAAGCTTTGTTTGGAAATCTGGAATATTCCTTTGCTTTCAGGCAATTTTCATGATTCCCACCAACCCACCCCCAACGTTCCGGAAACCAGAGCTCTGGTCAGACAATTTTACTGACTTTGTGAAACAGTGTCTTGTGAAGAGCCCGGAGCAACGTGCCACTGCAACACAACTTCTGCAGGTCTGCCTTTTCTTACAAGAACATAATAAGCTCTAGAGAAGCCTTGCCAGGGTAGGCAGTGCTGTGTGGCTGTTGGGATGTTTGGTTTCCTTTCTTGCTGCTCCTGTTCACTACAGGTTTTACTTTTTAATATCTCAGTTTTAAAAATCTCACACTCAACTTCAGCTTTTCACTTCTTCTCTGAGAACTAGTCTAACTTCAACTTCCTTTGTCTACCCTGGGTTGTTTATGTTGTTTTGGCTTTTGGAGTTTGATGTTGGTTTTGTTTGGTTTTGTTTTACTTTCAAATTCTCACCAGCACTGCCAAAAAACTTAAAACACTAAACAGGGGAGGCTAAATGAAAGTGGTTGCTCAGAATGGTCTAGGCATGGAAATGGTCTGTGTAACTGGTTCTTGACAGCTAAGCTCCTAAGGAGAGAAGTAAGCAGAGCTGTGGAGGGGGGAATGAGCCCAAGGTCTTCACAGCAGCAGTGCCCTTGCAGCATGATCTCATTTGGAGGGTGGGATGTCTCCTTCCTGTGCCAAACAGAAGTACTGGATTGTTATTTCAGTCATGTTTCGAGTTAAACCTTAATTTAATTTGAAGTAGGCCCCAGTAATAGCCTTTCACTGTTACACCTTGCTTCGGATGCAGTGCTTATTTGTTTTTAAAATACCTCTCAGCATCCATTTGTTAAAAGTGCCAAAGGAGTCTCAATCCTGCGAGACCTGATTAACGAAGCGATGGACATCAAGCTGAAACGTCAGGAGGCTCAGCAGCGTGAACTGGATCAAGAGGATGAAGAAAATTCAGTGAGTATTTAATAGTAACAGTGTACAAAGTCCAAACTCTTACTGCTTTCATAAGGCTTAGCTGCTCTGGTTTTTTGGTTTTGCAATATTTTGTTCAATTGCCAGTGGATTTGACTTAGTTCTGGAGTTTTCTGCTTTGTGACTGTTGAACCTGGTGCTTGGTCCCTGCTCAATCTATATTTGGGTGGGATAGGCAGCATGTGTGGCTTACAGTCCACCTTTATAGACCTGTGATTGAGCAGGGCTACAAAGAACTGTGTGCAGAAGACTTGATACATTTTCCCAGTTGGATTGTATTATTTATCCAGTAGTGAGAATTTTTCATTGTGGATTCAGGTCTTAGGCTGCTCTGCTAGTATAAAATGATGATATCATCTGTGATGCACTATGATATAAGTATGTTGTGTTGTTTTACTATTGTTGTGCTTTAGAACCTCCCTTGTAGAAACTTTCTTCTACACAAGAGCAACCGACAGAAGCCTGAGGTGAGGGCATGGGAAGTGTTCAGGGGATTGCTGTGAATTGCAGTTCAGCTCCTTGTTTCAGTGGTTACAGCATGTGAATTTGGAAAGCATGTTGAAAGCTGTTTTTTGAGCCTCTGCCTGCTTCAGCCTGAATAAATGAAATGGGCAACACCAGGCGTTGTGTGCCAGCCCTGTTCAGGGCTTACACTTGAACAGCATGGTCCACAGTGTCTGTGCTGAACACATTCTTCATCTGGTTTTCCAGTCCAAGGCTGCATATTTATTCAATGTGGATGTAACTTTATGGGTCATGTTGCCATGATGTCGACTCTACAAGTATTATCCCTACCCTGAGTATTGTCCCCACTCTCTCTTCTGCATTTCTGACTGCTCTGGGGTCACGTTGCTGAGAGGTGGTGTCTGTGTAGCAGAGTTGAGTCGTCTCTGTCGGTCTGTGTGTTTTCCCAAAGCTTGTCTGCTCCATGTCTGTGAGCAGAAGAGCATTCCCAAGCACTTCCCAAGCACTGTGGAAACTTCTGCTGTGCTCCTTTGTTAAATGACGTGTAGCAAACAAATTTATTGCTTCCTCTCACCCACTCATCTCCACATAAAACTGCTTTTCCTCCATTAACACCTTGTGTAGTTTTCTCCTCTCTTGCTACTGGTTTTGAGGTTGGGAAGTAAATTTTGTAGACGTTGTTGACACAGCAGATAAAATGCTGGGAACACCATGGAGGGGTTTACTTCTTCCTTTCCATGACAGTGAGGTGGAGTATTGCAGCTTGGTGTGCAGTGCCTGTGTTTTCCCTCTTACACTAACACACATCTGTAAGGCCGTGGTCACACATCAAAAATGTGAACTTCATCCTTAGAACAACACTAAATTGAGCATCTCATCTAAGGTGAGATACCTAAAAACTCTACTCTAAACCCAGACAGTGACTTGTGTTCCTGCAGTTGGACAGCTGGTCCACATTTCCAAGAAACTAAATGGATTGTGGAAATTTTGACCTTATTCTTTGTTAAATCCTACTCACAATATACACTTAGTGAAGCACCTCTGGCTACCTCTGGCTAAGGTAACTCTCTACCAGGAAGTTGTTCCACCAGAATTTATTTGAAGAGCTTGTGTTTTCCTACAAAGTCAATCTCTTAAGCCTTGACAGCAGTTAATTCCAACTTCTTTAGTACTAGTGCCTGTTAACAAATGGAAAGATAAAAAATAATTTACAGTGAAAAAAATTACTAAACTTTGGTAATTTATTTGAATCCTTTTCAAAGATTTGCAAATGCAGCTCATTTTTCTTCAGTGCTTCTGAAATTTATAGCAAGTAAAACTACCTAAATGCTAGAGATAGGGGAAAAAAAAGTAGGATGAGGGTTTTCTTTCCATGTGCCACAAACACTGCAGACTTAGACCTGTTGCTGTCATTAAATAATGACTCCTCAGTGAACTGTAGCACTTGAGATAGTGGTTTGAGGTCAGCTCTTAGAACCGGCTGCATGAATAGAAACACTAATGACTGAACAAGTGTTGTAATCTACTCTTACAGGCACATCACCAGGTCAGAAATGAGAAAATGAGATACAACTTGCACTGAGAAGCTTCTGCTGGTTATTTTATCTGTTCTCTTATTTATCATGCTGGCAGAAAAGTATGAAGACTTTTCATTACCTGTTTGGAGATGACAGGGAGAGAACTAAGTGCATAAACCAAATGTGGCTCCTGTGTGTGTGTGTAAAAACCTCTGAATTAGTGAGCCTTGCCAGTGTCCTTGGGGACAGACGTTCCTCGTGGGACTTCACCACCATCAGTAAAATATGTATTCATGGCATCTTTGTACAGGAGGAAGATGAAACCGATTCAGGCACCATGGTGAGGGCAAGTGGAGATGAAACTGGAACCATAAGAGCTGTGAACACCATGAGTGACAGAGCCAACACCATGATAGAACACGATGGCACCTTGGAGTCCCAGCTGGGTACAATGGTCATAAACACGGAAGAGGAAGAGGAGGAGGGCACCATGAAAAGTAAGAGAACATCTCTGACTTCTAGAATATTCCTTAAGACTTCATGTGGGCTATTCTATATATTGCCAGCCTGCTTTGATGTTTTTGGTAGCTTGTGTCTTTTGGTTGTAGGAAGCTAAAACTTTTAGATCAATGCCCTCTGGCAGTAGAGAAGCCTTTCAGAATCCAAGTTTCATTCTTTTTAGTCTTGCACTTGGTGTAGCTGATGACTTGTGCACAATTTCCAGAAGTTTCTGTGCTGATTGAATAAGATCTGATTCTAGGTAATTTTTTTTGGTCAGTTCTTTCTCGCTTGTTTTGTCTTTCTCACAGAATATAGAGGAGGGGGATTCCAGCAGAGGGTTAATCAAAAAACTTGTGCTGCTTTAGATGATGATCTGGCTGTATCCTGGCATCTGAAAGCAGCAAGTCTGTGTCAGGACTGATACATCCAATGAAGATTCATGAAATGACAAATATCTTTCAGGTTTCCAGCACAGCAGGACATGCAGTGGGAGGAGCTGGCATCTCTCTGGAGTGATGTGTTTCTTTAGTGTTACTCTAATCACTGAGGACAACTGAATGAGCTGTGTGTTGCTGTTTGAGACATTTCAAGTTCTGCCCTAAAATAGGAAAGCTTACTATAGCTACAAACCTTGCCTTAGGATGTAAGATTTAAAATGATGTGACTGATAGTCTATGGAAGACCTTACAGCTTGAGCTGGAAAAGAGTTGAAAATGTTTCTTTGATTAAAGAAAAATGGCAGGGAGAACCTTCCTGGAAAAGTATGACTAGAAGAAAAGGAATCTTTTCTGAATTATGGATTCTCATAGAAATCCATTCCCACAGGTTTGTTAGCCTCACAGTCCTGAGGCAGAGGTAGTCAGGGATGACTCAGCTGGCCAGCAGGAATGTTTGTTTGCTCAAGGACTGAGGAAAATGCTGAGTGGGGGCTCAACAGTACTGAGATATGACCATCACAGGCAAGGCTTGTTCTTTTGTCTCTTGCACTGCTCCCAAAGACTTCCTTGGCAATCTGATTTTGAACCTTTAGCTCTAGTGATAGAGGAAAAAATTCTCAACAGGAGTTTGGAGAAATCCTTTCCTCAGGAATTTCTGTCTTGAAAGCTTCTTCCCTGTGGGGGCCCTCTGAAGCTTGTGGAAAGATATTGGGTTCAAGAGTGAAATTTCAGCAGAATCCCTTTAAAGAGTTTTGCAGACTCTGGCAAACACTGATTCATCACATTAAACCCCAGAGGTGTCAGCCCATGTGGCAGCTTGTGGCAACAAAGGCAGCGGGCTGATGCTCTCAGGTGCTGTGGAACAAGGTCAGTCTAGCAGGGAGATGGATGGATGGATGGATGCTTAGAGTAGCTAAACTGTCATCCCAAGAAAGGGACATTTGAACAGTATTAAATGAACCTGGTGAAGCTGCAGTTTCTCTTCAAAGAGTCAGCACTGTTATTTTCTCATCATCAGTGGGTATTGTTCCGTTCCATGGCTCACAGTCTCGGAGGTTTTGCTGTCTGCTGCTCCTGCACTGGCTGCCAACACTGTGTAAATAAAGTGTCTCTGAGTTTATCTCCCTGTTTTTGACACGTATTTATCTCCTCACTGTCTTCCTAAGACTGCAGCACTTGTAACTCAAAAGCACCTAACGCTGTCTGTGAAGCGGAGTACAGAGGTTTGAGGAAATGCCTTTGATAGTATCTCTTGCAAGGACATGCTCTCGTTCTGAGCAGAATCAGTTATGAGGATGTAGCAATTCCTTCAGGCTCATCTCTAACCTCAAGAGGGAGCTCCACAACAAGCTCCCACACCTCGACGTCTCCGTGACTGGAAACTCGAATTTTTATTTTAAACCCTCCTTGGACTTCAGGCTTCTTAAAAACACTCTGTTCTTCAGCTGCTGCTGTGTGACATGTTCAGGGCTGGGTGTGTGGCAGAGGTGCTGGGGCAGCTGGAGGAGGCATTTGCAGATCCTGGGTGCAGGTGGTGGCTGACACAGGGACCACCTTCCACGTCCATGGGCTTCACAGAGCGACGTCTGATAAACCCCAGCTGCCCTCAGCACCCTCTGCTCCAGGTTCTGCTGCAGTTTAATAACTTGTAACTTGATTCCAGGAAATCTAATGTTAATGAAAATGATCCTTAACACCTCATTCTCTTCCGTCCTGGGTAGTAGAACTGTGAAATGCTGGCTGCTGCACAGAGCAGCTCTCCTTGTTTTTGGGATGTGCTGCTGGACAGTGTCTCTGAGCAGCTTGCCCTTTGTGAGAATTGCCTATAGCTCCATTTTTCAGCTTTCCATTTCCATACTCATAACATTCAGTTAAATGGATTTAGCTGTAAAGCTCATCAGCCTGCTGCAGAACCCTCTGGAGCAAGTTCTCTTTGTAATCTGAAACATAAATGTAATAACACTGTTTGGAAACCACTGAGTTTGAAGAAGCTTTATTGATGCATATTTTTAAAGACATCTGTATTTTTTTTTTTTGGCAGCTTGTGTTATGACTCACAATAGAGCCTATTTGAAGTCAATAAAAAATTTCTGATTGATGGCATTAGTAGGAGAATTTAGCTTCCCTAGGTGTCTTGGGCTGTTTAACTGCAGGTTTCTGAGCTTGTGTTCCAGCCCTTCCTTCTAATTAAAAAAACATAAATCTGTATCTTGACTAGTTTTATGTTTGGTTACCATAAAAAGTATTTAGAGCATCGTATTTCAGTGTTTTACAGATAGGATTGTTTTAGAAATCTTTAGCAAACAACTTCCAATAGCCTTGAAAGTGCAAACAACTTCTAGTAGACTTCAAAGTGCATAAATCGATTTGTGACTTCTAAGGCTCAGAGGAAAAGCATTCCTAAACTCCTGTATTTTTACGTGGTAGGGGAAGTTTTCTTCTGCAGTCAATTGAGCCGTAATTGTGTTTGCCTAAATTCTTTTCATTTGCTTGGCTTTATTCTGGGCACTCAATATAAATAGTCAGGCAGCATTAAAAATGTCACTGTGACATTCTGTGACTGGTTTTGAAAGCACTCAAGTGATTGCCTGAAACCGCAGATACTAAATTGTGCCGCGACACATTTTAGTTCTGAATCGATGGCGAACAGATTACTTATGGATTGCAGTTAAACTATTCCAGGAAAACTTAGAAGAGCTGTAGACGAGCAATGATTTGTAATAACAGGCATTTCCATTGTGCTGGAGAGCTGGAGAAACCGTTAATATGTCTGGAATCATCTTTTTAAAATTTTTCTGTGAGAGAATATGTAATACTAGTAAACAGTGCAGCATTTTATACACTCCATGCTTTTTCTGCTTTATTTCCTGTAGGTCTTTAGGTAGAGGAAAGTTTGCATGAGTTTGTCTCTTCAATTTAAAGAGTGGAACATGATTTTATAATAAAGCAGATAAACATGTTGCCTTCCTTGGACACTGCAATATGATCAGATCCAAGTAAAATAGGATCTAGTACTATAGTCTGTCCTATTTTGTGTATTAAAGTGCCTCTTGCTTGTTTAAGCATCAAATGAAACGACATTGGAGAATGTAGAACTGCCAACAGTGGTGTGAGTTGGGCTGTCTGGTTTTTGGGTGGAGATCAGTGAGGGGTCTGGAGATGGTGGAAGGATTGTGGGGGTTCTGTTAACGTGGCCCACGTTCAGTGCAGCACCTGGTGCAGAGGTGGACCAGAAGCTTTCATAGCACTGTTACCTCTATCTTGATAACATAATGTGTAGATAATAGTTTGTGAATGTTTAAAAATTTCTAGGCTTCATTCTTACAACACAGTTTGGCAGGTTTGGGTTTTGTTATGTTTTTACCATGCCCGCATTGCTAAGCCTGGTTGTGTCCTTTTAAGAAAATATTTCCCCTTTTGAGGGGAAATCAGGTTTCATTAGCAAATTAAATGAGCTAAGATGCAAAGTTAGCAATTTGCTATTAGAAAAATGATTCAGAGTAAGCTTGTTAGTCTTGGTGGCTTTGTGAGGCAGCCAGTGGGTGACACTTAAACCTAAGCCAGAGAAACATTACTGCCAAGACTCAGGAAACAGTTTTTCCCCACAAATTAAACTGAGATTTTTCATGTAAAGCAATGACTGTAAAAGCTGTAACGTGAGCAGCAGAGTGAGTATGGGTGGCAGAAGGTTTATGCAATGGCATTAATACTGTAATTGAATAAAGTATTCCTGGTGTGTAGCTGAGGTAGCTGTAGTTGCTGTAATCTCATTAGTTGTCCAGAAAAGTGCAGTTGCATGTTGTCCAAGTCGCTGATGCAGGTCCTGCAGAGAACAGCTCCACGTCTGGTCAGGATTTACATCATGTGTACGTCAGAGACACTGGCTGTGTTTTGCCTCTGATTTTCTCTGTAGGCAATAACTCTTTGCAGCAGCTTCCCCACTACTTAATGTTATTAATGTCCAGTGGTACAGTTCTGTGTTTAAAGTAAATTGGTCCATTTAGGGATGATTGGACCATAAAACACTCTCAGCATTATGCATTTAAATAACATGCTGCTTATAGAAACTCCTACACTGATTAAATTGTTCTTGAACTGTGAGAATCATCATACTGCCACTCTTGAGGTGTGGAGAATACACATCTTCACAGATAAGTCTTGCAGCTGTGTTACTTTTTTGACTTTTAATAGCAGCCTTGCTGGCAAACTTGACATAAACAGTGGCCTGCAGGGTTTGTTCCAGAGTATTAAGCTGTGTGGACATGCAGACAGCATTTTGAGCAATGGGGGGAGTTGTTTATGCTGTTGGTTTTTTGTTTGAATACTGCTAGGCTCCTGGCCCTACTAATTGAAATAGTGGCTCAGACTGAAGCATGAAGAGAATTAAAGTCCAAGGGCTCAGTGGGATGCTTGTCCACCTTTGGCTGGCCTGCATAATTGACAGAGCTTTAACACTGAGACAAAGTTTAATTTTTATATTTTCAGAGACACATTGGAGAAAGGATGTATGTATAGAAACAGCTATTTTTGCTGTTTCTAACACTTTATTATTGAGCACT